TGATTATGCATACAATGGACTTCGGACAAGGTGCGTTCCTCTAAGTCTTCCTACCAATATGACCGAGTTGCGAAAACAAGGTCAAACGACTCCTATCAACGAAAAAAGCCTGCGACCACACAAAAGGCCTCCTTCAAATAATGGAGGAAAGCTCAGCACGAAGACATCGGGGTCGTAAGACAATGAGCCGAGGCCATCTTCGCCCAATTCAACAGACAAAAGTCCAAGGCAACCCTCCTGCAATATCCGATGTGGCCAATCTATGAATCCCTTCGACCCGCCTTCTTAAACAAAATGAAATGTACGTCAGTTTTTACTTGGTTTCATATACTCGTTCATTTTATTCTGGATGTTGTTTGTATTCCTAATTTTGATCGATTGCCTGATCGTACAGTTAGCTGTCTCGTTCCTATATCTGAAAAAACGATGGGATTTGAATAACTCTATTTGGTGTCCTGTAGTGACCATATTTTCAGCCATCTCAGATTTCTGAATTCATAAATCTTTTCGGACGGTTGTGTTCTGATAGGCTTTTACCTTTGGATCGAAAAGTCTATCCCACATAGAAAATTGAAATATAGGAAAGAAGTAAGATCTCGGCCGGCCAGCTTTCTTGGTTCAGTGTTTTTAGTGACTGTCAGTGAATAAATATTTCTGGCTCTGGCTATGCCCGTCACATTATGAACGAAAGCTCAGCATAATTCATCTGGATTGTAGAACGGTGAGTCGAGATCTTCCTTGCCCAATTCAATAGACAGAATTTCAAGACAAGCCTTCTTCGATATCCGGTGAAGCCAATTTACAAATCCCTTTCATCTGTCTTCCTAAACGAAAGAATTCTTCTAAACCTATTTTCGCTTCATAGTGAAAGTTTTCTTCAAGCACGATTAAAAAACTAAAATTAATTACCTGAAAAGAGTCAAAATCACATTCAAGTCGATGACGAGTGTTCCTATAAATGGACTCAAAATTTGGTGAAGATTTATCGGCTATACAGAGATTGATAGAGAGCAGATGCTTGCCAGTGACCTGCTGCGTGGTCTTAGCAAGACACAAAGGTAACTGCGTTGTACGATCCAGAAAACGTGGAGACATCACAGAGAGAGTACTTAGATGGGCCTAAATGGATATAAAAAGATGAATTGTATAGTGTATAGAGGCTGATGCACAGGAATGGATAGAGATGGAATATGAAAAAGTATAAATAGAAGATGATTCTAGATTCATCTAAATAAAAACTAGAGAGCAAATTTGATGCAGACTTTTAATACGAAATGATAAAAAATAACAAAAAAACAGTGTAAAAACGAAGAGTCTAGGGAAGTGGACGCATGTAAAACTCATAATAAAGATGGAAAAAATGATTAAAAAAAGATAAAATAGCCATTGAAGCCACATACAGATGATATGTTTTAGAAACTGAAAATGGAATGTAAAAGAAACCAATCTAATCTTAGAGAAAAACGGTGGAATCTTGATATATAAAAATTTTAAGTTTTAGAGAAAACATTATTTAAATAATTTTGAGTAAGATCAAAAAAATTAATAATTCGAAAAAAAAATTTTAATACTTGGATTTGTTGATGAAATCGACTCTTTGTAATTTTTATGCCAACACCTCGAACATGAAATGCGAATACAGTACGATCATCAGAAATTGCGGTCGTATCCTCAGCAGAAAATCGATCAGAAACAACGATATTAATCTAAAGATAAATAAAAATGGTTAAAATATAATCAAATATTTTGTCTAAAAAGAGTAATAACTAAGTTAATTATAGAATGTGGAATGTGGATTCAAAACATATATTTTACAAAATCAAGGAGTTACTTGTAAATACTTATATAAATATGAAAGGTGTAAAAAAATTAGTAATAATTGCATTATAATATCTAACAATATACAAGTCAAAGCTTAGCAAATTAATTATTATCTAATTTTGTTGCCTTAAAAAAAAAATTAGAAAAATAACTAAAGTGACTCAGGCACGTGCTAGTCATGTTGAAAAAGGCGAGTGGAGGAAATTCGTAAGTTGGTTTTACATGAAGTCGATTAGGGGATGTCTTAAAGCTGTAATTGTGGACTTGTGCGAATAAATCCTCGGCTCACCGTTCTACGAGCCCGATAAATACTTGCTGAGCTATCGTCCGTCATCTGACGGACATCCTCAAAGCAGGAAAACATCTTTAACGATAATTCACCAGGCATCATGACAATAAAGATTGCCGGTCTCAATCCTACCTACTTCTTATAACTTAAATTTGTCCATTTAATGAGACATCTCATAATTTGGTTGAACTTTCTATGCTTTTTATAAAACCTTTTGAAAAGCCGCAGATGAAGCGTAAAAAGATGAAATTGCGACCAAACAGGTGTATCCTCCTTTAGATTAGGCTAATTTTTTATCCCACAATGTTAGTGTATGTGCTTGAATTTCATGCATTTAATGCTCGGAGGAGAGTTGAGTGTGCAAACAATATAATACAGCTTGCAAATGGTTGTGGGTCCAAAAATCAAAGCTAGCTGAACTCATAGACTGCATAGGACACCAGAAAGACCTATTTAAATTTAAAATCTTAGCTGGATATGGGGGTAAACAAACGGAAGATAAAAATGAGAGGGAGCTAGCGAGAAGTACCGCCGAGCAAGGGGCTTCATTGGCCGCAAATCTGATCTTCACCTTTACAAACCACGCGGCTCACGAACATTGCATGCACACAATATGTGCAATGGAACGTAATCACGTGCAGCCATATTGTCATCATACATGTCATTCTGACTAGATTTCATTACTAAAAATAAAACATGAATAAGAAATGAATTTGTCTTGGGTCATACCCTTAAAGTGATAATTCTATTTTTGAGGCTCCGAAAACCATGGAATATTGCTTGGCCTAACCTCCTAAAAGTGATTATCATCCAAGATAGACTGTAGTTTTGACTTGCCTATTAGATCTCAATTAGCCAGAATATGGATGGCCTCTAGAATCTTGTTTTTGTATTTTCACCTTATGGAGCCAGTTCTACCGTACTCCGGTCAACTTAATGTTCCGTCCGAGCAATGTGTTGTTTTATTTTGGATCTTTCTGTATCCATGTTTTTATAGTCTGTTATGTTTTTGATTAGTAGACTGATATTTATTCCTATTTCACCAATAAAACACTGCCCATAGTAGCAGCAAGCTATGCGATGAGCTCTTGAACAACACAGTTTGTCCTCATTGTCGTGGATATTCAATTGCCCCAGTAGCTGTCGCAACTTTTTTATTAGTTTACATAAGGGTAGTCTTGATAATCAAGACTTTGGGCGCTTATAGTAGTAGAGATATGGCAGTG